TCTGGTAGAGTCTCATACAAAGCTGGCATTGAGCCCTGAAAGGGGGAAAAATGAATAAAAAGGAATATAAGACATAGAAACACATAATACACATGTCAAAGTTATGCTTAGAATCAAGAAAATAAAATATTAAGTACTGTCAACAGTTAAATAATTATTATTGAAGTACTATTTCACCTTTTGTTGGTCAGAAACAAATGCCCAACCTGCTCCTCTTCCAATCTGTAGATCATCTCTTAGATTCTCTAGAAACCACTTCCATGTTGCTTTTGTCTCAGACCCAACATCAACCCATGCAATTGGGAACATTTGATGGTTAGCATCCCTTGCCACTGCTGTGAGTATTTCTCCCTTGACTTCAGACTTTAAGAATGCAGCATCAATCCCAATTAACCTTCTACAACCCTCTAAAAAACCCCTCTTACATGAATCAAAGCATACATAAAATATTTCAAACACATCACTGGACTGCTTAATTTGTAATATGCATGTATTTCCTTTATTAAACCTTAGGATTTTAGCTTTGTCATCCTCCAAATTGTTGTACTCACCCTCTATATTTCCCTTTTCATGCTTTCTTATCATTGACTTTGCTTTCTTCATTTGCTCCAGAGATACATCACAATTGAGTTCTCTCTTAACGATCTCTTTCATAGCATTGGTTTTCATGTCAGACACACCAGGCTTAGTGTTGAAAATTTTTTGCACCAACCACTTTGCAGTGGCACTAGGAATTTGCCAGCCTGGATTACAGGCATGGTCCGGGTGGAAGGTCTTCAGCACCCACTTCTTGCTGCTACTTCTGTTTTCAATGCCAAAGTAGGCTATCCATGTGCAAGTCTTGTTCAAATTTGAACACTTGGCCCTAAGCATGGTGGAGCAGTTTTTAGCCCAATAGAAGGGGTACCTGTTACTCACAGAGTATTTATTCACAGAATCCTTTACCTCACTTTTTGACTCAAAGCTCATTCCCAAGTAAAATCAGCCTTGTCATTTGGTTTGAAGCTTGGAAATCTGGATTTTACTCTAACAATATCTTCTTCTTCATTGTCAGAACCAGATTTGTAACTTTCTTCATCGCTTGAACTGAAGTATTCTGTGTCATTGCCATCATCCTCCAAACCTACCTCTTCTTGAACTAGTGTTTCATTGGCAGTGCTATTGTGGTCTTTACTTTTACCAGCAATCTTTGAATTTGTCACCAGCTTCTTTAGCAATAACCTAGCATGGAGTAACTCCTCATCATCTTCATTTTCAGAATCTACCTCATCCTAAAACATTAGACCTGCTCCTGCCTCAAGAATTGGATCTTTAAAACCCAAATAAACAATGAACGAAACTTCAATAGTAGGACACTCCTTTGTTTGTCTGTTTCATAATAAATGTGTTACCATTTCAGTACTAGGACCCTTCATATGTTCAATGCATCTCATATAGTTAATTTAAATGCAATCTCATTTGCTTATGTTGAATGCTCATATACTTATACTCACTTTATACACAAGGTAAAACATGTATTACAACAGTAAGGTAGTACGAAACTGACATTGGCATACCTGGCTTTAGAAGACCCCTTCTCCATCTTCAAATTAGGGTGTTCAATCTTCTTCTCTGCGCTTTTAGTTGCAATGCTTTCCTCTCAGATTTCCCAAATGAGCAGGATAGTTAGGGTTATTAACTACTAATGTGGAGTAAGCGGCTGAGGTGGCTAATTTTTAGCCCAAGTCACTAATCTTATGGCCAACTCAGCAATTTAGCATACCTAATACCCGATAGGACGAAATTAGACCCGTTTTGGCAATTTAATGTTAGCATACCTAATACCCGATAGGACGAAATTAGACCCGTTTTGGCAATTTAATGTACCGTTGGATCCCAATTGCAGCTTGATGTACTCTTTACCCCCCCCCCCCCCCCCCCCCCCCCCCGCTCCCAAGTTGATGCACCAAATTGACACTTTTCTCCAAAAGTAAGCTCTAATGGGACACTCCCTTTTAAGGGGACCAAATTGGCCTGTTAATCCACTTTTAGGTGACATTTGGCCGCTCACTAACACTACTATCTAACTTGTGTCTGTATCTCGTCATTATCAATCCTTACTCCCCCAATTAAACGCTATCCACCTGGATTATCCGCTACAAATAAAATATGTAAAATCATAATTTTTTCGCCATATACTCTTTGCCAAAAGAAGCAAATGTACTTTTATAGTAATAAGCATTGAGTATTTGGGGCTCATCATTTCTGGTAAACGACTGACAACTGGAACTTGAACTTTCTTCAAAAGCGATCTTTTAAATATGAGAGGAGGAGGAGGCTATGTCTGTACTTGGGGCAATTTTGACAAGAAAAAGCTCATTTAGAAGTTGTTCTTTTTCTATTTTGAAAACCTCTCTTTCAGTTTCCAAAGATCTGTGCTAGTCCGCAATTTTACGGATGACCTTTGGAATGCAAACATTAACAGTTTTAGGTTTTTCAGAAAAAAATTGTTCATCCCCTTTAGAGACAGACTCAGACTCACTTGCTGGAGGAAAAAGTGACACATAGTCATCAGACAGAGAAATTTCCCTTGTCTTATAACTAACATTCAGTTCAGTGTAGTCAAACGAGATCTCAGCTTTATATTTATTTCTCTCTTTTCTTTTTCCTCGACATCAATTTTTTATGCTACCACAAAGGACATAAGTTTCATCAAACCCAAGCTCATGTTTCGAATGTCACTCAGTTGAGCACAATTGACTTTCTTTAAATTGTATTGGTTTTGGAAACCTAATAAGCCTTCCTTGGAATTGTAGAAAGTGGTGTCTTTTGGCTGATTTAAGAAAATGGTTTGATCCGTTTGACCTCTCTTAGGAAGTAAGTCCTCCAACTCCTTAATCTCAGAATATAATTTGAAACGTTTAATTTGAAGATGTTTACAATTGGTTTTGTAGTAATACATTCAAGTTGAGAAGATTTTAGTTGATCTGTTAAGTCACACACTTTTGCTTCTGAGTGTTCTAATTTAGACTTAAGCTTTGTGTTCTCATTATATACATTGGTTAAACGAACCGTAAGGAAATATTGTTCAAGTAAGTGTTTTCTCAGGACACTTTCATTATTGATTAGGCGAGCTTCTAATTCCTTAATAATTATACTTTCATCACTTAAGAAAGAGATTTTATCCCGTGAAAAATGTATTTGATAAGTGGAAGTTGAATTAGAAGATTTTACCTTGAGCTCATTATTTGACATTTCAGCGCATTGGATATTACTCAATCATGATGAGCAAGGGGAGGCATCCATTGTTGATTGTTGGATAAAGACCGTTGACGCGAGTTTGATTGAATATCTGCAAGTTTCTGGACCCTTAGAGTGACTTTGAACAACTTTGGCCTTTGGTTTATCTTTGGAGAATTGAGCTCTGTTTTGACCTTGACCTCGGTGATTGACAAAGTTTTTCGTAAAAAGGAAGAAATCTTGTTCAAGGAGGGAGAGTGAGGGCGCGTGATATGTACGTAGTCCTAGTCCCCAGGGGAGTCTTGAAGATCTTTTCTTCTTGTTTTCAAAAAGGTCTTAACTTCTTAAATCAGACCACCAAGTCAAAAGTTATGGCCAAAGGTGTCAAGGCGTTTGCAAAAGTTGATTTGGGAAACTGAGTTCGAAAGTTGAAGCTTGAGAGCTAGAGATCGAGAAGTTGCGGACTTGCAAAAATTTGAACTTCGAACTGGACCTCGAACTTTGAACCTCGGACTTACTGGACTTAGAAGAATTTGAGGTTCAAGAAGTTTGAGCTCGAACTTTTGAGCTCGAGAACCGACCTCGAACTCCTGAAGCTTGAGAACCTGAGTTCAAAACTTGAAGCTCAAACTTTGGGAGTTGAATCTCGAACTTAAGAAGGTTGAACTTTGATGCTCGAACTTTGAGACCTCGAGACTGAAGTTCAAATTCTGGACATCGAGACGGTCTTCTTCTTCGTAGAACCTGTTAACAACGATTACAAACTTCTCCAGAAACGTGATTCCAAGCTATTTTATATAGGACTTTGATCTAAATCTTCCAGAAGTTGTCAATAACGTCAATGACAAATCGATCAATTTAACTATATCTATCCATTAATTAGATAAATTCGATTAACAGGATAAATTTTCGAGTAGCAAGCCTAATTAAAATCACAGCTGATAAAATTTTCGAGTAGCAAGCCTTCTTTGTCAATGGCAGATCCAAAAAACGTAGATAAATTCGAAATGTTTCATGCCTTGGCTCTGATTTAAACCCGCGCAAGGATGACATCCACAAATCGAAAATAATAATTTACCCATATACTTAATACTTTAAATGGAAATGACAATTTTTTTAGGCAGTTGCATAGATAAGGTTAGCAAAGTTTGACAGGACGGGGTAGTAATTGTTATTGGTAATCAGTTGTAAAATAAAATGAAAAGGTATTCACTAATTTTACTATATCTATCCATAAAAAAGATAATTTAACTATATCTATCCATTAATTAGGTTTGTAACTATTTAAAAAAGAATTCAATCGTTTGTACTAGATGCACATAAATGAATATATATGAAATTTAACGTGAAATTGTGATTAATTAACTAGAACTTAATTGTATGGAAATAAACAACAATTTTCACAACAATACATTTTTAAAAATCATAAAAAGTCAATACTATGATACCCCACTAATAAGTGAGGGTACCATTTTTATTGTCTACGATGCATATGATTGGTTCATATCATTATAAATATGTCAATACTATAATGCCCCACTAATAATTTACGTGACTCGTATTGAATTGATAAAGTAAGAATAAAATAGAAATGATTTAGAATCACATAAATTTTACCAAATTTGATACAAAATAAATTTAGAATCATTTACGGGATGAGACAATTTTAGCGGGATGAAGAGAGTATTATTATACATGGACTCTAATTTAATTCTATATAATATTTTTATTATTATACAATAAGTACACATTACTAGTAATGTAAATAAATGGATTGACTGGTATGAGTATAAGAAACTTGGAGTGTAACATTCCAAACAAGGGCGCCGTGAATTGATTGATGATTCATTCATTCCCATTTAGATTGAAAGCAACGCACACATTAGTAAGTTAGGAGCAATATGACATGCAATAGTAGATGCTAGATAGTAATTTCAGTGAAGAATTGCATTGCTACTATAAATCTTTGACATATGTAAGTAAACATGATTAGTGAAAAGAAGCAGCAGCAGCCCCCTTGTCATCATCCACCACCAGGGGATGGTGAAGAAACTTGGCTTCTGATTCTGCTGGACCGCCTCACAGGAGTAATCACTTCTTCTCCCTAGAGTTCAAACAATAACACAAAGAAGGAGTTACTTATGTTGAGCATGAAACAACTTTTTTTAAAAGTCAAAAGAGTGATTGATTAATATGAACTCACAAGATGTTGATGATGATGCTTGATGGGAATCCTCTCGTACGTGGTGAAGCTCCCGTACGAAAGGGATTCCCCGATTGAAGTAGCAATGGATTCCCTCCGGTGGCTATTGCTGCTGCTGCTCTTCCGTCGCTCTCGGTTGCTGCTATGAGATGTGGTGCTGCTTGCTTGTCGTGAAGGACAAAGGTCTGCCTCTACAGCAGCAGCAGCCCACTTCTTTCCCCAACATTGTTTCAGATAGGTCAACACTGCAGCAACAGCTGCAGAAACTACACTAAGAAGAAGAAGAGACAATGGAATTCTTCTCACCCTTGCAGTAGAAATACTATTCCCTTCTTGCTGCAGTGTTTCAACCGGACATTCTTCCTTACTCTTCTCATCATTGGAAGAACCCCTCAAAATGGTGGTGGTATTAGAAACAACATGATGATGACCATCCACCAATTCTACACCATCATCTTCTACCTCCTCTTGCTTTTCATTTTCACTTGACCAAGAATAGCAATCATTTATTTTTTCCTCATCCACTGCTACTACTTCAGCAACTGAAACTTCTCTGCTCTCACCAACATTATTATAAGTTTCTTCAGGCACAACGGGACTATCCAAACCAATATCTTCATCACAATTCTCTTCCTTTTGATCCTCCACAGCTACTACTTCTTCAAGAACTGAAATTTCTCCTCCCTCACCAAAATAAGAATAAGCTTCTTCTACGGTTGCTATGTCTTCGTCCCCTTCTCCTTCTATGCCTTCTTCTTCATCATCAGAGTCAACTTCCTCTTCTGCCGCCGCATCATCTTCTTTAACCCCCAAATCATCAGATTCTACATTCTTATCCATCTCATTTTCTCCCAAATTCTTCAACCCTCCCCTATACTCTAAGAACTCCCATTTTCTCCCTCCTATAAGACTGGTTGAGTTTGTATGACTCAAGCATGATGAAATCCATAATTGCTTCAGGCCATCTTTCATAGTAGATTGAATTCGAGGTCCTCGGTTAGGAGAAAGATATACTTTTTTCATCAAATCTTTCACTCCAAAAACGTTTACAAGTGGGCAATTGCTAGCTGACTTTGACACACCAGCAGCAATCATGATGAGGAGCAAAACAGTAACAGACCATGTTGAACCCATACAGAATCTACTTTTCGTTTTCTTTTTCCTACCAGGTATATCCTCACTCACTGTTTCTTCAGATTCTAGTTTCATCACAGTCTCCTCCTCAAAAGTCTTAGGCTCTTGTGCCACAATCTCTTCCTCGGTAGTAGTGGGAGAAGGAGGAGAATCATCTGAATCTTGTCGAGATTCCTCAATATGAGACTCAGAATCTTCAATTGTAGACACAAAGGCTTCATCTAGGTGCCTACTTTCCCCCACCATATCACAACCCTTTTCCATACTCTTAAGAGCTTCAATTCTTGGATTAGGTCGGTAGTGGAGAAACTGAGGTCTGGGGGAAAGGTAATTAGTCTTAGGATCATAAGGACTCACAGATGGATTAGCAGCTACTAGTGGAGCTAAAGCAGTTATAGTAGTTGGAGAAAAATCTGAACAAGAATTTGTATTTTTCGGTAATGTCTCATTACTGAAAGAGGAGTCCATTACTACAGTCCCATGATCAATATGTAAGGGTGCCTCAGAAAATGTCACCTTTCTCACGGATTTGGTCGTATCCAAGCAAATTTCAGGCTCCGGTTTTGAGTTTTCTGTAGAATCTGGAGAAAAGAAAGTGGCTTTACCATCACATAGCGAAATTGATGACCTTACAGGCTCATTTCTCTCCACCAACACTTTCTTCTTGGGTGATGGACAGAACTTTGAAGCTGCCGAAATGGTTGGGGACATGAAATGCTTAGCAGGTGAACGGAGTTTCGGTGCCCTCTCGTTCTCCTTCTCTGAGCAATCCCATGCAGCTCTGATCTCTTCTTTATCCGGTAATCCCCTCCTGACAGAATCTGAAATGCCCGAAAAAAAATCAAATTCAGAGTAGTCACTATAATTATTAATCTGTATCATTTCTACAACAAAACGAATCGTTTCTTGTTAAGATCAAGAAAATGTGTACCAGCAGGGCTGTTAGCAGGAGTGGTGGGGCAGATAGTTCGTCTGGGGTTGGAGAGTGGGAAAGATGGACTGCCGCTGAAACTTCTTCTCGGCCTTGCCACCGAAGGAGACTGAGATCTATTGGAGGGGGTTGCCATTGTTACGTGAAAGCTTTCAAAGGGCTCTTCAGATTTGGGGAATCCAATCCAATGAGCACACAATCGAAATCCGGAGCAGAAAACGGAAAATTATTTACTCTTGGGTGATTTGATATTGATTCTAATGGATTCGGTAAAGATTGTCTCAAATTCTCTATCGGTTTTCTCTTTGATAACGGCTAGTTTCAGATTCAGCTGCGGGTTAAGTGATTTGAATTTTGGTGGTTTTGACCGTTTGGGTCTAGAAATCGTGGGGGTAACGGCCGCAGGCATAATTAGAATGGACAAAGTCTAGACAGGGGAGCATTTATTGGGGCGCGACACATTTTGACCCCTCTCTTGTATTTTAAATTTTCACAGATTTTTTTTAGTAACATAGCATGCCAATGGCATGTTACTAAAAATGACAGTCACTTCCCGGTCCGGTTGGATACACCCTATACCTCATGGGACACCCGCGGAACTAGGACACTCACTCGAACTGGACCGATATAAAGAATACTCCGTATTTTTTCAAAGAGAAAATTGTCAAAAAAAGTCAATTAAGCACCCCAAATAAAAAAAAAACAACCAATTATGCCCCCGAACTTTTAAAAAATAGTCAAATGTGTAATTTATCTGGTTAACGTTCGGTTATCCGGTTTTTTAGCTGATCCACGTCTGAATTTTTAATTCTTTTAATTTTCTTTTTCTTTTTCATTCTAGATTCCTTCTATCTTCCCTTTTTTCTCCACCCCATCCTTCTTTGTTCTTCCTCCCTGTCACACGAATTGGGTGTCTTCTTGATTTGTTTGGGTTTTGTTAAGACACAGGGTTCCATCCTAAAAGGTCAACCTGATAGGAGGAATAACTCGTGTGTTAATATAGCACTTTGTTCATCCAAATGTTTCCGGTGTGGGACATTTAACACCCCTCATCACGACCAGGCACTTCGTCTGGATCGCGCAATCATTCATTTTTTTTCATCGGTCCATTTTTTTTTTCATCCGGTCGTTTTTTATAATCGTGTCATCATTTTTCATAAGGGGCCCCACACCATGGATCGATTTGGCTCTGATACCATGTTAAGACACGAGGTTTCATCCTAAAAGGTCAACCTGATAGGAGGAATAGCTCGTGTGTTAATATATCATTTTGTTCATCCAAATGTTTCCAATGTGGGACATTTAACACCCCTCCTCACGACCAGACACGTTAAGACACGGAGTTCCATCCTAAAAGGTCAACCTGATAGGAGGAGTATCTCATGTGTTAATATAGCATTGTGTTCGTCCAAACTTTTCCGGTGTGGGACATTTAACACCCCTCCTCACGACCAGACACTTCGTCTAGATCGTGCCATCATTCATTTTTTCATCGGTCCATTTTTTTCATCCGGCCGTAATTGTCATTTTTTATAATCGTGTCATCACGATTTATAAGGGGCCCCGCACCATGGATCGATTTGGCTCTGATACCATGTTAAGACTCGGAGTTCCATCCTAAAAGGTCAACCTGATAGGAGGAATAGCTCGTGTGTTAATATAGCACTTTGTTCATCCAAATGTTTCCGGTGTGGGACATTTAACACCCCTCCTCACGACCAGACACTTCGTCTGGATTGTGCAATCATTCATTTTTTTTCATTGGTCCATTTTTTTTCATCCGACCGTTTTTTATAATCGTGTCATCATTTTTCATAAGGGGCCCCACACCATGGATCGATTTGGCTCTGATACCATGTTAAGACACGGGGTTCCATCCTAAAAGGTCAACCTGATAGGAGGAGTAACTCATGTGTTAATATATCATTTTGTTCGTCCAAACTTTTCTGGTGTGGGACATTTAACACCCCTCCTCACGACCAGACACTTCGTCTAGATCGTGTCATCATTCATTTTTTTCATCGGTCCGTTTTTTTCATCTGGCCGTAATTGTCATTTTTTATAATCGTGTCATCACGATTCATAAGGGGCCCCACACCATGGATCGATTTGGCTCTGATACCATGTTAAGACACGGGGTTCCATCCTAAAAGGTCAACCTGATAGTAGGAATAGCTCATGTGTTAATATAGCACTTTGTTCATCCAAATGTTTCCGACGTGGGACATTTAACATGTTTCTTCTTCTAAGCTTTTTCCTTTCGTTCTCTTATTTTTCCCGTCTTCCTCCATGATTTTCTTTCTAGTTCTCCCAAGTGAGAAACTCCAGCAAGGAAGGAGGCTTGGCAGTGTAGATTTTCAGCTTTTCCCACCGTAGTCGGCGGCAGAACAATTGAAAGACCGGAGCAATGTCCGACGGCGTAGCGAAAAAGATTATACGGACCTACACCAACGTCACCGTCTGGATTTAGTATTTCAGTGCAAGCTTTGCAAGAACGCGCTGCTACAATCAAACAGACCCCATTTTCGATTCCAGCTAGTCCGGGACCTTGACTTCCTTTTACTGTGGTCTGGTCAGACTTTCAAAATTATCCCCTCCTATGACTCGTCCCTTTGCAAACTAAATAGCGAAAAAAAAGTGTTAGTACGGGATGGAGTATTGTGATGGCTCTTTCACCGTCGGCGACTTGGCTGATCGTCGAAATACCTCTCTTGGGGAAGAAAAGAAGGGAAGAGAGAAGAAAAAATAGACAAAAAGAAAAAGAAACATAAAAGAATTAAAAATTGAGAGATTGGTTGCCATGTCAGCAGAGTGACTGGAGAACCGGACCTCAACGTGCTAAATGGTTCATTTGACTATTTTTTTAAGGGTAATTCTATTCACAATCCCCATATTACAAACTATAGCCCCCAATTACTTAAAATATCCAATTTGCCCTTAATAAAATAATATAGAAACTAATATCCTGAAATACTCATGCCAGATATCAACGATCACTCGGTAGCCTCAATATATCCTGAGGCTCTCATACTCAAGATATCAGTCGATAAGGAATGCATAACATCAATCATGTACATATTGTAAGCCATACTGTCTCTATACTGGCAAAGTGACAATTGTTTTTATGGAAAACACTTGATGTGCATTGCTGCCGTACTTGGATGTATGGATTTAACTTCTGCAGTGCAATAGAAGAAATATATATGGATTTTTGTGGCTTCCATCTCCTCCCCAATCAAAGATCATGCCGCTCCACAAAATACTCCATACAATCTTCTTTTTTTGTGGAAAACCCATTTCCGCTCTTCTTCTCAGTCAAATATAGAGAGAGTACAACACTACTCAAAGTGATTTATTTTCCCAGTTCTCACGATGTCCTGTTTACCGGCATTTTCCAAAGGAAGATTATGTGCTCGTCGTTCAGAACAGTTTGCTTCCGGTTAGAGGACTTTGTACCGAAGGAGGGTTATGTGCCGGTCTTCAAACATCTCGCTGAATTAGATGCTCAGCCGCTCAGGTGTTGTTACTTAGAAGAAGGGTACAATGGGAATTATAAATAATAGGTGGCTTTATTTAGCAAAGTAGCGTCTGCCTTTAGAATTTCCCTTTTTTTAAAGTTCATTGGGCTTAATTGACTTTTTTTTATATAGTAGGAGAGCCTATTTGACAGTTTTCCCTTTTTAAAAACAAATCATACAAAAAATTACACTAAAAATATAAGCATCTTTTTAAGGTGACAACTCCGGTACCCGACTAAAAAATGGGTACGGTACCTACCATTCATTTGATTGGACCACATCACTTTATCATTTTTAATTTAGATTTAAATAATTCAACTGCTACATTCTCATTGGTCCATGTGGACAAAAGTACGGTACCTTATGAGTACCATAGAATCTACCTTTTTTAATTTGGGGTGAGTCATGGCCTAGGCTGGCCACCCCCTAGCTACGCCCCAGCTGCTCTCTGCTTACTACCCTCATGTTCCTATTTCCTTTTTGTTAAACTATGTACCCATGACTAATTTTCCTTTCCGTTTCAAAAAATGAGAACTAATTAAGTCGATATTTTTTATTAATCGCAATTATCAACTCAATTTTTGGAAGACGTAGAAATATTTCTAAAAAATTCCAAACTAAATATTTTTAAATATGCAAAAATAATTTTGTACCGAAGTTAAATAAAGTCTTTTTTAGACATTTTTAATTTATATTCACTAAAAAATCAATTCTTCAAATCTTTTTTTTCTTTTTCTCCATTTTTTCCCAGTTGCGTTACCAAGTTTATGATTTTGTATTATTTTCCTTTATTGAAATTTAATCCGTACATTTTTTCCCCAAAATTATACTCCAATTAAAAATTTTAGGATTTAGAGTTTTTTTCTAGCTTCTTTCACGAAAAATATTTTATTTTATGTTTTATGCCATCTTAATTCAAAAAATATAAATTTTATATTTTATTTCTTTTGTATTATTATATTCTATAAATTATATGATATGGTTTATCGTTTAATTTTTATGATTTTGGGTATAGGTTTTGGCTATTTTTAATAAAAAGGTATTGCTATTCTAATTATAAGTTATATAATGAAAATTGTAGAAAATGTAGGGAAAGTGTAAATCGCTTGAAATAACGATGAAAATGTATGATAGAGGATTAAAAAGAGAGAAAACTTAGGAAACTTTTGTTTTTTTAAGTAAGGAAACTTATGTATATAAGAAGTATAAATGAATTTTTTTAATCAAATAGGAAAGTTGTGCATGTAATAAAATATTTCCTTAAAAATATATATGGCAATTTAATAGATAAGGAAGAAGTACTATTTTTTGAATTTATTTGCAATGTTTTCAATTTATTATATTGGGACTACTAAAAATGGACCAGCCATAGTTCAGATTATTATAAATAGATATCATTTTTAACCTGAACAACCGGTGATTGATCACGAGGGAGTACTATTGGAAGATGTCCTCTATAATTGGGGTCACCAAGAAATAATCGATAGTTGAGATTATTAACAACAGACCTGCTATATAGTTGGTGTTGTTATTTTCAATTTTTCCAATGTTAAACGATTGACAAGTATTACTCTGAAATTCCAAACCCCGTTATGGTAACTTCAAACAGACACAATTGTTTGATTGAGTGATATTTTATTGTACTTCTGTTTGGAGCCAATTTACCTCTTTGGTAATAAATTTTGAAGATATAAAATTCATATAGAGACTTAATTTACCAAATACTAAATTAAAGCATGAATACATTTTGCAACAAAATTTAAAACCACAATAGGTTCACTAGAAATAGGCGAAGAGTTTGATTTGATCATATATCTTATTACTTCCTCTGTCGCATTAGAAGGTTCTCACTTTCTTTTTTTGGACGTCCCATATAAAGTTTCTCATTTCCATTTTAGGAAACAATTAACAATATTAAATGACAAATCATTAAATATTA